AAAAAAAAAAAAAAAAAAAAAAAAAAAAAAAAAAAAAAAAAAAAAAAAAGGGATCCTTTCTTGTGACCTTTAGGTCAAGAAATAAAGAAATATATTCCAGGAAAGAAAAGACGACTGTTCCCCGCCCCCAGATACTGTGGGGGAAAAGGAGGTGAAAGGGAAAAGGCGCAAACACCAAGCTCTCCCCTCGTCCGTCATTCCCACACTGGCAAGTTGTGTTTGCCTTCCAACTTCTGAGAGCTCTGCAGCTTCTAAGCCAAGCGGTGCTCACCGCGCCAGCCCAAGCCGGCGGGTGGATTACTTACCGGGGGATTTAAACCCAGTCTGGCGCGGGGGCGTGGCGGGGCGGAGCCCCGCTGCCCGGGTGGGCGGGGCGGGGGCGGGGATCCCGGCAGCTCGGCGCTACGTGAAAAAGACCCAAGCTCGGAGAGTGAGCGCCTGTCTCTTTAAATGCCACGGGCTGCGCTCCCGCCCGGGAGCCCGGAGCCGGATCTACAATCCGGTCCCTCCCGCTCCGGCGCTTGTTGCTCACCCGGTCCGAGCGGGAGCTCTTGCCGCCTTGGCTGTGAGGCTGCCGTCTTCTCCTCCTCGCGCCCCACTTCCCCCGAGAGCTGGCTGAGGAGGGGAGGCAGCCCCAGCTGGCGGGAGGAGGCACGTTGTGAACAGTGATCCCCCGCCTTCAAGTATCGGGGCGCTACGCAGCCGCGGGGGAAAGACATGCCCCCCCTCTGTCCGCTGCGTTGCCCTCTGCCCAGCCTCGCTGCCGCCTGCGCCGGGAGAGAAGGGACTGCGGAGCCCACACCTGCAAACTCCCCCTAGGAGTCTCGGGGTGCGGCGGGGAGCCCTTTCCCCAGGCCCCACGGCCTCCACCTCTCCGCGGGTGAGTTTGCGCAGGTAACCTGAGCCTGAGGGCGGGCGCGGGGGAGGGGCGGGCGAGCCGGGAGGAGGTAGCGCCGCAGGTGAGTCAGGTAGGGTGACTCACCTGCCCAGGTCGCGCCCTGAGATCCTCGCTCGGTCGCCTGGGGATGGATGTGTTGGTGAGGAGGAGGCGTATCAGGGGCTAGTCAGGGGCCGAGTCTGGGAGGGGAAGTTAGGAAAGGAGGGGGCATTGGAGTAAAGTTTCTCTTTCCTTCCCTCTTCCTGCCCAAGCTTGGCAGGTGGGGCGCGGGCGGAAGCAATAGAACCTGCTGATGCAATGGGCTTTTGCCAGGGCCAGGCGAAGGGCTGGGGACAGGGAGAACTGGACTTGCCCGGTCTCCTGTGACCGTGACCTTAGAGGTGGAGAAACGAGGGAAAGCTCGCTACACCCGAGACTCCCCCCTAAAATAGCTCCAGGTGCTGAGTCCTCACCGGTTCTTCCTTCGGAACAAAACGCCCTTTTCACGGAGGGGCTCCTACATGGCTTTCTTGCCTTCCTCTCCCAACAGGTGGCCTCAGCCCCTGTCCGGGTACCTGTGCCAATGACCCTAGTGGTGGTTTCGCTTTCTCCCCTCGCGGCGGTGTGAACGTGTGTCCGCAGCGTGATGGGCAACCAGGTGGAGAAACTGACCCACCTAAGTTACAAGGAAGTTCCCACGGCCGACCCGACTGGCGTGGACCGGGACGACGGGCCCCGCATCGGGGTCTCCTACATTTTCTCCAATGACGATGAGGACGTGGAACCGCAGCCGCCGCCTCAGGGGCCAGATGGCGGCGGCCTGCCCGACGGTGGGGACGGACCGCCGCCGCCCCAGCCGCAGCCCTACGATCCGCGGCTGCACGAGGTGGAATGCTCCGTGTTCTACCGGGACGAGTGCATCTACCAGAAGAGCTTCGCGCCGGGCTCGGCGGCGCTGAGTACCTACACACCGGAGAACCTGCTCAACAAGTGCAAGCCGGGCGACCTGGTGGAGTTCGTGTCGCAGGCTCAGTACCCGCACTGGGCCGTATATGTGGGTAACTTCCAGGTGGTGCACCTGCACCGGCTGGAGGTGATTAACAGCTTCCTGACGGACGCCAGCCAGGGTCGTCGAGGCCGCGTGGTCAACGATCTGTACCGCTACAAGCCGCTGAGCCCCAGCGCCGTGGTGCGCAACGCGCTGGCGCACGTGGGCGCCAAGGAGCGCGAGCTGAGCTGGCGAAACTCGGAGAGTTTCGCCGCCTGGTGCCGCTACGGCAAACGCGAGTTCAAGATCGGCGGCGAGCTGCGCATCGGCAAGCAGCCCTACCGGCTTCAGATTCAGCTGTCGGCGCAGCGCAGCCACACTCTCGAGTTCCAGAGCCTGGAGGACCTGATCATGGAGAAGCGGCGCAACGACCAGATCGGGCGCGTGGCCGTGCTGCAGGAACTCGCCACGCACCTGCACCCGGCGGAGCCGGAGGAGGGCGACAGCAACGTGGCGCGGACTACGCCGCCTCCCGGGCGCCCCCCTGCGCCCGGCTCCGAGGCGGAGGACGGAGAGGCGGTGGCACAGTGATGGGCGAGCTGAGCGCAGAGCTGCGAAGGGGAGCTGTTTGCAGTAGCAGTCGCTGCCCCTTTTCTCCCTCTCTTTCTCCCTCCTCCGCCACCGTCGGGGCCCCATCTGGGATTTCTGGGCCCTTTGGAAAAGAGTTGGTGAAATGCGCAGCCGGCTGTGGACGAGGGAGGAGGAAGGGGACAGAGGGAGCAGGTAGGAAACACTTTAGCCGGGTGCTGGGGGGTGGTGGGTCTCCCTCCCCTCCCTTAATCTGTCTTCCTTTCGGCGGTGGGGCAAACTGTGGACTTGCCTGGCACTTAATGCTTGTTAGATCTGGGTTTATAATCGGCCATTCTTAAGCACGTGGGGTTGGAGAAAAGTTCGGAGTACCCATTACTGCCATTGCTTCCTACCCTGGGTTTGGAAAAATCGTAGTACGAAGGCCAGAGCGGGTTTGTGGAGTCGCCACGGCGGGGCCAGCCCGAGAGCTGCTTATCTGCTTGGGTGAAGCAGAGCTGAGCTGTGTATGGGATCTAGGAGGCTGGGGTGATTTATTTTATGAGATTCCTGGAGCGCAGGGCTGGTGAATCCATGACAAGGTCTGGGAGCAGCAGACCAAAACCGCAGCAGCCTCCTATTAAGTGTAACAAATAGTTAAGCAAACTCCGGCTACAAACAAAGACTTTGCTACCTCCCTCCTCCACAACCCCCGAGTAATTAGTCTTCAGGAGCTGGCTCTTAGCTGAGGCTCCGGCTACCTCCTGCTCCACCCGCCCCTTCCCAGGTTACAAGTAAATCATTGTCAAGGGCCAGCCAGGGGAAGGTTTCAATTAAAGTTCTGTTCTGCTGCCTTTGTTTCTCCCCTGCTGTTGTAGGCACTTACGGCTGCGTTGTTATGAAAGGAGGGAATAGCCCTTTGTGTCTTTGATCTAATTAAACCTGCTCGGCTGTGTTCATCCGCAGGGCAGGTCACAGGGTTGGCTGTGCCACCCCATAAAATATCTACTGTGGAAGCAGCCACAAAGGGCAGCCCTGGCAGGAATTAGTTAATCTCTCCTTCCACTCCCCATCCGGAAGAGTGAAGGGAGCCCTTTTAATACAAAGATTTGGTAGTAATCCTGTGATTTTTTTTTTCTTCCCCCACCCCCTCACTGGCCCATTCCCCCCTCACCCTCACTTTTGTTCTCCTGGTGGTGAAATCTTAGGCTGAACATGTATTTCAATGGGAAGACACTTATTTTGCTATCCACACTTAATGCAATTTAGTTCAAGGTGCACAGTCCTGTACTGTAGCAGTCTCCTGGTTGCCTGGAGAACACTCCCTTTAGAGACCTGTGTTAAATAAGAGGGGCAGCGTTGATCATAGGTGCCACCTGGTTAGTCAGCACCGAATCTGACTTTGGTGACAGTCCTAAAGCACAGTTGGTGATTGTGAGATCTGTGAGTGGCAAACTGAGTAGATACTGCTTGGTTTGCTTAGTATGAGACATTTTCCATCTAGCCTGTCTCTTAAATTTCTGTGAGATCTTAATGATGTATGCCTCAGTTGCAGAATAGCTTCTCTGCTGCATATTGCCATTGCTGTCTCAAAAGTTGAGTGGAGTTTGAGGTTTTTTTGTTTGTTTGTTTTTCCTCTCTTGGGAGTCATTATAAACTACTCTGTACAAGTCATTTTGTGATGTAATTCTTAACAGTTGGAATAGAATCGTAGCTGAATGGTCCACAACCGTGGCTATCCTAAGTAAAGGCAACAACATCTCTAAGTCAAGGCAACAAGACTTAAAGGATTTTCTAGTATACTTGTTTTACACACAGACGTTGAGGCCATTCTCTAAAAGTTCGGACCTTTGTAGTTCCTCAACATGAAAGGGCGTCAGCTGTGTTACCTGTTTTTACAGTGATCGCCAAACAGATCTGGCCACTTCGATTGTTAAAGATGAGCCGCATTCTGGCCCTGATCTGGGACTTTGGAGGGAGATGAATTTCTTGTTGGAAATGTAGATCTAGTGTCCATATTTAATACTCTCACAGCTTTGTGTTTATTCTCTTTGCTCATCAAATAGCAGAGCAAGATAAACATGGGTTCAGACATTTAGGAGAACCTGCTATATCTAGCTGAGTTGGGTTTTCTTTCATGCTTAACGCGGTAGTAAAAGCAGAAGGTAGGCCGGGCGCGGTGGCTCACACCTGTAATCCCAGCACTTTGGGAGGCTGAGGCAGGTGGATCACCTGAGGTCAGGAGTTCGAGACCAGCCTAGCCAGCGTGGCAAAACCCTATCTCTACTACAAATACAGAAAATTAGCTGGGCATGCTGGGGGCACCTGTAATCCCAGCTACTTGGGAGGCTGAGGCAGGAGAATTGCTTGAACCCGGGAGGCGGAGGTTGCAGTGAGCCAAGATTGCACCACTGCACTCCAACCGGGGTAACAGAGCAAGTAATGACCACTGTGTAGACAAGTGGGAGGAAAGAACAGAATGGCACTGTCCAGCTCTGGGCTAGCCAGCTCATTTTTCAACTCCGCCACCCCTGTCTCCTTCCTCTGTCCCAGGGTGGAAAGTGATGTATGGTGACACTGAAGTATAGCAGCGACTGTGTTATGAATAAACTGCTCTATGAGATCTCAACTTGAAGGAAGAGCTCCTACAAAATCCACATCAGTAGTAGCATTTTACCTCTAGAGAAGAGGTTTTCAATAACAGGGCTTGGAAATGAACTAGAATAGGAGATAGATCTCTTCAGATACTGCTTTCCCATATAATGCAAGCTTTTCTACAGGGCCCTAGAGGTGTGAAATATGTGACACTTAGGAACAGTGATTTTTATTGGGAATTTTCTTAGGGTTATAACACTTAAAGCAAAAACCAACCAGTAACAGCTCCAGGAAAGGGGAATGAATCAATTCTTGGTTCTTTCCTCAAGACGGCAGTGTTGTGGATAAGTGTGTTTTTAATGTCCTGGCAATGGCTACATTTGACACTTTAGAAAAAATAAACATATTTAATAATTTTTGTTTCTCCTTAGGAATAAGACTTTAGAACTGTTTTGTACTGTGAATTACGGATGCTCTTTGAAGGAAAGAAATATCGATTCTAATGTTCTTCAGAAGCTCTGGCAGGGTAAGCAGGACATCGACTGGAACGTATGCTAAATGAAAGCAGACAAATTCTATTTTCTTACCTGAGCAAATATTTTATTGAAACTGCTTATGTATGTCAAAGGAGCCCACAACTTCAGCTACACAACTTTTTGTATTGAAAGAACTCCTACTTTTTGTAGCTTTTATTTCACATTTAATTTAAAATGACTTTAGCACTAAAATGCCTAGAAGATTTTACTCCAGACCTATAAGGAAATGTTTAGTTTTTATGAAAAATGACAAGTCAGTGGTTTAACTTCTCATGTCTTTGGCGCTTTGGCCCTAATAGCGCTGGACAACACCACGACCACATGGAAACATATTTTTGGAAGCAGAACTTTAATTTTATATAACGTATGCTATGGAGAGCTAAGAAAATTTAAGGACTACTTGTTTTCTATTTTTTTTCCTAATAAAATGCAATCCACTGTGTTGAAGACTGTTGATATCATGTGCTTGTCTAACCATATTTTGTTTTATAAATTAGAATAAAATCTAGTTGTGATCATGGTCATCAAATGGATTTGTTTGGAAAGCCACATCTTTGTGAAATGTTTTTTAAATCTGAGTAACTATAAACTGATTCATTCAGCTTTTCGTTTGGTTTTGTTCTTGCCTATCATACTTGTGACTCGTGAAGAATTATGTTGGCAAACAGGATAAATTCCACATGCATTTTATTTCCCAGTGAGTTGTATAAACTTTATTTTTGTTGAAGGTTGTATGTTAAATCAATGTTACATTCTTATATCACTTCTTGAGAAGGAAGTTTTGACTTGAAATTATATCATTTCCTTCAAAATGAAGGGCAGTGCTTAGTTAAATAAAAGATTGATGATATCTTTTAAGCCATTTCCTCTTCACTATGTCTTATTAAAATAAAACCTGTCAAGTTCTTTTGAAAAAAATGCTATGAGGGTTTCCAATAAACCATCTATTAAAGTTCACTGGGTTTATATATTTTTTCTGCTTGAATACCCTTTTTCTGACATTTTTGGTCCAAATTCAAGCTACTCAGTTTACTATAATTTATCTGAGAATATTAGTGTGTGTCCCCTTTGCATTGCACAGTAAACATTCTGTTGAATTCATTTAGTGACTGAAAACCCTGCATTGCTTTGTGATAATCACTTATTGCTAAACTATCAGTGTTCATGAAAAATGTCTTGTGAACATACATTTTCAATACATACTGATTTTTCAGAATCCATGCAAAAACTGCTGGAAACCACTCTTATTATGGAATCTACACTGGGGAGTCTGTTTAGTAATCCATCGGGAATCTGTGTGGTATCTTAAGTGGCTTCAGAGTTCCAGATGAAGGGAATATATTTGCCACATAATTACAGAAAATGGGTGAACATACTCATGTGGCACTGTTGGCATGAAAATGGATGCAAGTGCCAGTGGTTGGTAACATGTGGCATCGGACTGCTTCGTGGGATGCTACTGGGTACACTCCCTAGGCCAATGCCTGAAGCCACCACCATAACAATCCTGTGAGGTTCAAATGCCTGGGCTTTTAAACAGGCTCCTGTGAGAATTTTAAATAGGAAGAAAGTTGAATGAAGGTTACAGGGAGCTCAAGCAGCAATGAGGCCATTTATCCCTAAAGTGAGAGTCTAATGTATCATGGCTCTCATTGCATGAGAAAACAGGGAAAAGGGTGCTTAATACACAATGTGCATTTCTTCTTGGGCGATTTTGATGGAGGTTGTGGTTCCTATTTCTCCTAAGTGGACTGAGTTTGCTTAATGTAGGGAAATGACATGTTTGTGACTTTCTGAAATGAACAGGTTCAGGATATATGCAGAAGACCTTTTATTTCCTTTTACTGAGTTTTCTGGAGAAACTGCTCATTAAATAGCAATTTTATCTACAGAGTAGATGCAAGAATGGCTAATGTCTGCATTTGCAGCTGCAGTAAGGTTCTGACTGTCTTTGCAGGGCAAAAGATGCTGAGCCCTAGCCTAGGAACTAGAAATAAAGAGGTAGAAAAACAAAAAACTCAAATTTGGTGGCTCTTCAATGCCCTGTGCCTAATATACAAAGATAAATCTAATCCTGGCCGGATACAGTGACTCACACTTGTAATCCCAGTACTTTGGGAGACCTTGGCAAGGGGATTGCTTGAGCCCAGGAGTTTCAGACCTACCTGGGCAACATGGTGAGACCACCATCTCTACAAGAAATAAACAAAATTAGCCAGATGTGGTGGCACATGCCTGTGATCCTGGCACTCAGGAAGCTGAGGTGGGAGCATCGCTTGAGCCCAGGAGGTCAAGGCTGCAATGAGCCAAGATCATGCTACTGGCACTCCAGCCTGAGCAGGTGACAGACTGAGATCCTGTCTCAAACATAAAAATAGAAAAAAAAAGATAAACCATGTCCATAGTTACTGTCAATCATGTAACTTTCATTCTAATTAAGCTAGGCAGATAGCTACTTACCAAAATTGTGATAGGTGAAATGAAGGAAATGTACAAGGTGTATGGGAGAATATGTCCCCTCAATGAGTCAAATGAGGCTTCCCTGAGGAAGTATTTTTGCTGCACCCCAAAAGTGGAGGAAGGAGCCAGGTGCTTCAGAATAAGTGCCGATTACATTAAGGGAGGAAGGCTGGAGAGTGAATGAATGGACCTCAAGTGATCTCAAAATGCCTTTGCTTCGTGCTCCTGGTACACACCAATTTCTCCTTGGGGCTCTCTTCTACAACATGTTGTCCAACTCATTCATGTATCTTCAACACTTACACAGGACCAGGCAAAGAAACCCCCACTAAAAAAAGTTTGAGTGAGTAAATGAATTTTGAGTTTGGACTTTGCCAGACTAACAGGCCCCTAGATTATCTCAAGATGATGTTGTGACTGGCTTGAAAAGAATGAACATAATAGTGATTTTTAGGGTGCATTGAACAGGGAGACCAAGCAACTGACTCTGTCTTCCCTTTCTCTTAGAAGGCAACCTTTAGAGCAGAAGGCAGCTAGAGTTTGTTCTGGGTGGAATGGTGCTAAGGATAACTTACGTTGTCAGACAGGTTATGGAGTAGATTGTGAAGTCAGGCCTTTGCCCGTGTGCAAATCTACAGACAAGTGGCATTGGCCAGGCTGGATGGAAGAGTAGTGGTAAAATGGAGCAGGAGGATTTATAACCTGGCTTCCACAGCCTTGGAATTGTGATTGGGGAAGAGGTTATTTTGTTCATTTGGCAAACCATTGACGTAATATAGTACCTAGTGTCTTGTCCAGTGTGACCGTAAATGACTCAAAAGATGAACACTCTGATACTTTCCTTAGGAAACTTGTACAATGTAGTTAACTCCAAGACTCTAGTTGTCTTGATAGTCAGTGCATTCTTTTTAAACTCATTATGTTTGAGAAGTCTCAGTGACAATGCTAACCGTCAGGTAGAGAGTCTGACCTGGGCACACATATTGAATAGTGGTTAAAGCTTTACAGTCAAATGACCTGGGTTTCTCTACTCCAGGCTTCACTTATTTTGAGGCCAGTAACCTTGGCAGAAGTTAACATACTTTGCTGGAAACCACTTCCTCTTACAACAAGTTAATGGCATCCATCAGTTCACTCTCTGAACTTTAGTTGCATTAGTAAAGTAATACAACTAATACATAATATGTAATAACATAACTGATCTAAATCTACCTTAAACAGTGCTTGTGAAATGGAATACCGAATGTAAATTCCAGATCAATAACTAGTATGGGATGGGCGTGGTGGCTCATGCCTATAATCCCAGCACTTTGAGAGGCAGATCACTTGAGGTCAGGAATTCAAGACCAGCCTGGCCAACATGATGAAACCCCGTCTCCACTAAAAATGCAAAAATTAGCCGGGCATGGTGGTGTGCACCTGTAATCCTGGCTACTAGAGAGGCTGAAGAAGGAGAATTGCTTGAACCTGGGAGGTAAAGGTTGCAGTGAGCCGAGATCACACCGCTGCACTCCAGCCTGGAGGACAGAGTGAGAATCAATCTCAAACAAACAAACAAAGCAACTAGTATGACTGGCTAGGGAAATCTGGGGTGTTGTGTATTCAAAATGAAATTATTATCTGAGAAGAGAGGTCTTCCCTTTGGTCTTGGAGAATTTCTTAGCTATACATGAGAACTTAGTAAGATAAGAAAGAGATAACTAGTTAATAAGTTAATACTTCAGTTGTTTAGTAGATGCTGTAATGTTTGAAATGTTTCTTGGCGGCTGAGCACAGTGGCTCACACCTGCAATCCCAGCACTTTGGAGGCTGAGGTGGGCAGATCACGAGGCCAGAAGTTTGAGACCAGGCTGACCAACATGGAGATACCCCGTCTCTACTAAAAATGCAAAATTAGCCAGGTGTGGTGGTGCATGCCTGTAATCCCAGCTACTCGGAAGGCTGAGGCAGGAGAATTTGCTTGAACCCAGGAGGTGGAGGTTACAGTGAGCCGAGATCAAATCATTGCCTTCCAGCCTGGACGACAAGAGCAAGAGTCCGTCTCAAAAATAAGAAAAGAAGAAATGTTTCTTGGCCAGGTGAGGTGGCTTGCGCCTGTAATCCCAGCACTTTAGGAGGCCATAGTGAGAGGATATCTTGAGCTTAGTGGTTTGAAACTAGCCTGGGCAATACAGTGAGACCCCATCTCATTAAAACAATAATAAGACTAGGCACAGTGGCTCATGCTTGTAATCTCAACACTTTGGGAGGCCGAGGCGGGAAGATAAACTGAGGTCAGGAGTTTGAGACTAGTCTGGCCAACATGGCAAAACCCCGTCTCTCCCAAAAATGCAATAATTAGCCAAGCATGGTGGCAGGTGCCTGCAGTCCCCAATACTCAAGAGGCTGAGGCTAAACAATCGCTTGAACACCGGAGGTGTAGGATGCAGAGAGCTGAGATCACTCCACTGCACTCCAGCCTGGGCAACAGAGCGAGACTCCGTCTCCAAAAAAACCCAAAACAGTAATATAAAAAAATATTTTAAGAAATATTTTTTGGGCCGGGTGAGGTGGCTCATGCCTGTAATCCCAGCATTTTGGGAGTCCAAGGTGGGTGGATAACAAGGCCAGGAGTTTGAGACCAGCCTCACCAACACAGCGAAACCCTGTCTCTACTAAAAATACAAAATTAGCTGGGTGTGGTGGCACATGCCTATAGCCCCAGCTACTCGGGAGGCTGAGGCAGGAGAATAGCTTGAACCTGGGAGGCAGAGGTTGCCGTGAGCTGAGACTGTGCCATTGCACTCCAGTGTGGGTAACAGAGTGAGACTCTGTCTCAAAAAATATGTATATTTTTTGAGCATTTCTCTTTAGTAGATTAACCGTTTACTTTCTTTACACATATTTATTAAATATGTTTACTCATTAATTGAACACATATTTACTGAACACTTTGTTTGTTTAGGACTCATTATGTTGCCCAGCTGGATTTGAACTTCTGGTCTTAAGCAGTCCTTCTGCCTCAGCCTCCCAAATAGCTGGGACTACTGGCATGCACCTGTTACTGAGCATTTTTAAGACACTGGGCTCTGTGTAGTCAGGGTGGGACAAAAAGGGATTTTGCAGTAATAACATAAACAATGAGGATGTCACCTTGTCCACTCTGTCCTAATGTAATCACACAGACTTTCTGAACAGATGTTAATATTACGTTCATTTTACAGTTGAGGAAAGAAGTTTAGGGAAATTAAGTGATTTGTCCAAAATCACATTACTAATAAATGACAGCTTCTGGCCTGGAACAGGAAAGCTGGTCTCCAAAGCCCCAGGCTACTCTTCCTGCCCTGAAAGATCACCTGACCACCCTTCCCTTCCCTTCCTCTCACCCCATGGGAGTACAGGGAACCCTCTTCTGCTCCAGAAAGTGGCATGCAGCATTATCTGAGCAGCGTTTTTGTTTCCACTGTTATTGCAGCAACCCTGGAGGCAAGAAGGAGCAGGAACCAGAGAGGCAACTC